GATTTTTTTTTTCTCTACATTCAAAGAGTTCGCCATAGTCGCCGATTCAACACCACCGTGCTTGCCTCTCTGGTGTCCGGATATCGCCGGCGTTGCGAGAGAAATTTCTTCCACTCTTTTGCGGCCTACAACACTTCAATCGTGGAGAGGGTCCTTTTTCGATGTGTTTCTTGCAGCTTGTCTTTCTTTTCGGCGGTGACTCGTGGAGAGTTGTTTTGGTTTGCTTGGTGGAGGCGGATCTGAAGATTTAGGTGCGGTGTGGTGGTGAGTGGTCCATTGGGAGCAACTGCGTCGGACGTCTCTCCTTCTGTCAGATCTACTTTGGAGATGGTGGTTCTCGTCGTTAGATGAGTTCTCCCGGTGTTGTCAAATCTCAGGTGATCTCCTCTCCCTCTTCCGTTGTTCTCACTCTTAGTTCCTAAGATTTGCTTTGGCTTCGTATCTTCGGGTTCTATCCTTCTCGTCCTTGCTCCGGTTTGTTGACCAAGCTCGCGGTTATGGAGCCCAAATATGCGGTAACATCTGCTCCAGGCTATTGTGGAGGTTTTCTGTTCCGACTCGCTTCTTCTGGATGGATGTTGAGCTTGGTGTAGGTCAATGGCTGCTAAGCTTGGTGTATGTCAATATCTCCTGGGCTATGACTGGATGGTTCGATGGCTCCGGATTGTTGGCCCGCTCCTCTAGCCGCTAGATCTTTCGGCATGAGATCTAACGGTGGGTTTAGCTTGACGATTTAGAATCTTTTGGATTATGTCGTTGAGGCTGGTTAATCTTCTACCAAAAAATTCCATTGGAGCCGGAGGCTTCTGTGGCCACCGGAGTTCAGCTCAGCGGCGCTAGGCTCTTCTTTGTCGATGGTTAGGTTCTCCGCCTGCTGATTAGGGTTTTGTGTTTTGTTATTGGATTGTAGCGGGTTAGACCCATTAGCACAAAAAAAAGCGGTACAATCAAGATCTAATTTTGGGATTGTTGGATAAACTTTATTTTTGTTATCGTAATTA